TTTACCATTATTTCGATAATGGATTAATCCGATTAATTGTTTCAGACCTGATTTAAATAGATGTAATATTTAAGTAAGCATGTAAAACTACATGAGGATAATAGGTTAAATTAGAGCTCAGAGTTTATTTTAAAGAGTTGTTTGTTTTTTATTTTTTGACTAGTTTGTTTCTTTAAGCTTAAAGGAAAAAAATAATATAAAATATAAGTAATAGTATAAAGTAAAGCTTGCATCTATGTGCAAATCAGTATACAATAACTTCCTTTTTTAATGCTTACTTAGAATGATGTGGGTAACAACAAAGTTAGAGATTAAAGAATCAACCATTCTTGTTTCAAATCTTAAGATAAGCCTTTAAATGAGTTTTATGAATAATTTTTCTTAATGTTTTCCAACAAGCTTAGATTTGTTCATATCTTGATCAAGTTTTAACGTTTTGATGTTTTGTTTGCTTGATTTTGTTTGCTAAGTCATCAATCAGTGAGGTGATTTTGTTTTTTAACATTTAATCTGCTCGTGTTTCAGGAAAACGAAGTTCAACAGTCGGACTTATCGGCCAGCAGTGAGAATCTGTCTGAAAACGTCAAAGTAAGAGAACGTGAACAGTTTCACAGCGATCTGCAGATGCATCTCAATAAATTATAATTCTGCTGGATTATCTTATTTCAGGGATTTCTATCAAAAATGAAAATTGTTTATTCAGAAAATGCAGTTAATTTAATTTAAAGCTAATAAAAAACCCAAATTATTCTACATAACAATTCGATTATTTATAGTAACAGATATGTTAAACTTATCGGTTATAAAACTCTGTGAATTGCCTGCTTATACAGAAATTACTTTTTGTGAAGTGACAAAAATATATATATATATATATTTTTTGTAATGTTACCAAGAGGCTGAAGTTTGTTTTTTGTTTTTTTTTTTTGGTAGAGAAAAAAAAAATACTTGACCCAAATCAGTTTTATGTATAAGGAAGCTGTTGGGTTAGAAATAAATCTGCTTTGATTTATCACATATACACCTGTGTTTACCTGCTATGTTTATTAAATAAATACTAGACCTAGCAAATCTGATGGAATATGTGTTTTAATCAGGAAAAGGGAAATGTGTTCAGTGGGATGTTTAGAAGATCTCCAAAACCATCTGAAGGGTCGCAGTTGGAAGAAGTAAGATATTTATTTGTTTATTTTCAATCTAAAATGTAGAAAGATTTTCCAAGTCAATGTTTTTCTGGTTGTTGTGATGTGTTCAAAGACAATCCAGAAACGTCAATATTTGCTGGTTTTACAACTCGCACCACTTTCTGTCTGACTTATAGTCGGACAGAAAATAACTTAACATTATAACCTAACTAAGTAAAAATAATCAGTTCTGTTTGTAGAAATTTGGTGCTGACTTGTTCCAGCCGTACATGTTAAGATGTTTCAGTAAATTGCTCAGCCTTTTTTCCTGCATGGTGTCCGCTATGTTCTCTCAGGTGTAAACCGGTTCCATAACATTTTTTTTACGGTTCAGGGCGAAGAACCTTTGAATGGCGAGCTCTCTGCCAGCAACGACAGCCTGTCAGAGAACAAGGTTAGTCTTTATGGCAGATCTGACAGATCAAACGGCATGAGTCACAGAGCAGAAACATGCCTGAACTCATGTTGCCTGAGGAGGATATGTTTGTAGGTAACTGGAAAAAAATAACACATCTCATTTCTCTTAAGGAGAAAGGCGGCTTTTTTGGACTCCTAAGAAAGACCCCAAAGTCCACTACAAAGGTAACGTTCCCCTCGAACGAGTGCAGTAGTTATCTGCACAGTCTATTCAGACAGAAGTCCCTCCTTTTTCGTATTTGTTTCTGGATCCTGACTGGGGTGGGGGAATAAATCAATTTGGCAATATGTCTTGATTTTCTGCTACACGATATAATATTGCTCTGCAGTGTGGGGACTATAAATATATCTGTGACGGCATAGATACCAGATCTGCTCTGGCTTTGCACATGCCAGTGACGTTACTCTACATGATTGGCTGAACGTTGCCACTTGATGTAAACATTGTGGTTGCCAGGACAACGATAATAACATCCCGCAGCGTCAGTGTGCCGAGTCGGGAGCGTTTATATTGTTAACGTCTCTAATGACCGATGAAGTTTTATCTGATCAATAACAAAACTGAAAAAAATCTGTTGATGGTGAACAAAGTAACTGAGTGGCGCTGTGGCTAGCTGTAGCTAACAGGTTAGCCTTTTTTAGTTCGGTCAGCTAGCCATATTAAGCTACTCTACTTTTAAATTTGTGTCAATAAAAAAAAGGTTAATTTCTACAAGTAGAATAACTGTTTCATTTGTCTAAGATTTCTACAGAAGTCATTTTTTATGATGTCCCATTAGTCCTCTGCTCTCAGATCCTTAGAAAAAGAATAAAAATAAGCAGAGACTTTTTTGTCACCTTGTAAATGGCAGAGCTCAGTCT